ATTTGCAGCGTCCGCCAAAGGCTTTGTGAAGGTACGGAGTGAGCGTCACTGCAGCATGGGACAACATGCAGGCGGGTTCATTGTCGCCCCCTCAGTGATGTCAACCGCTATGTTATTCAGCATTGTAGTCTACCCAGAGGTTGGACAGCAAAAAGTGCAACACGTGCTAGTGCGTCGGGAATTGTCCCAAGTCATCGCAGTCGCGCGCAAAGGGAATAGGTGTGTTGGTACCGCATAAGCTAAGCCATGTCAGCAGGGGGAATCCGCTGACGGCATTGGGCAGCTAGGGTCGGATCAAGCTGGCTTACGTATTCCGTCTTAATAAGATTCCCGCAAAACATGTTAAGCACCATTTACCCTAATCCAGGAACTATTGTCGTTGTCTACATTTCATATCAGGTTGCTGAGCGATGCGCACGGCAACATCGACTCACGACACGTCGACATCGACGCCGACCAAGTGGTGCTGAAACGCCACTTGGCTCCGGCCCGCGAGCCGCCAGGTACACATATCATGTGCACTGTACGTCTGTATGTCATTCGCGTGCATGGACGTGTTGCACGCTTCGTTGTTTGTTGTGCGCACATTTACATGAACAGAGAATGATCTCATAAATGTGTGCGCTACGAGCAATCCTTATAAAAAATCGAATATTCCTTATAAAGGCACCAGTATCCGCACATGAGGATTACTGGAATGTTCGCTGTGAGGTATCGGGGCCAGGAAAGGACCCATCATGAAATCTCAAGGCGGGCAAGTTTCAAACGCCAGGTGACCTTTGTAGACACCTGCCCTGTGGATATACGGATAGAAGAAAACCTATATGTCCACACAAATAATCTACCCGAAAATCAAGATGAAGAAGAAAAAAATGTTTTGTCTTCTCACCCTACCCCATGGATCTCATTACCCCTGCTTACCCCTGCTTTTATCCCCTGCAGGGGGTAATTTCTAATTACCCCTGTTTGACTCGCCATCGGCGACGGGTGTTATTTCCATCGTGTCAGACAGCCCCTCTTCACCACTGATGTCGAGCACGCTGCTGTCGATATTAATGCCCCGCTTCTGTTTTATCACCCGGCTGCCTGCGTGCGTGGCCATCCTGTCTGCTCGCTTTGTTCCGGCGGGCCTTTAAAAGCGGCAGATTCCGGGTCGGCCCCAAATCGAGCTTCTGAGAAAGCTCGACTCGCCGCTCGTCGCGCTTCAGAGAGTGCTTTGTTCATCGCACAAGGGGAAGTCAGTCGGCGTTTTAACGCATGGATGACTTCGAGTGGATTTTGAAAATTAATAGCAGGATGTTTTAGGGCTGGTGATGGAGGGATGGTGTGCTCCATAATGCAACGACGCCCTTCCATTTACAGAAGTTGAGTTGACTTTTTTGCGTTCCGGATTTCAACGGCCTTAAGCCACTGTAAAACTGTCATCCCCTATAGGCCGACACTTGTCCTGCGGTATGGCCAACCCTTACCAGGCATGACATGGTCAATGCGATGAACGACCCGCCGAGACGCAACAGTCGTGTTCAGAGGCGTGAGAAAGGTTCGCCTCGAAAGGGGCCAGACAGAGCACGTCCGTAACAGTCGATCAGGCCGGCCGCCGGGACAGTGACGCTCTCCCCAACAGTCGATCAGGCCGGCCGTCGGGACAGTGACGCTCTCCCAACAGTCGATCAGGCCGGCCGTCGGGACAGTGACGCTCTCCCCAACAGTCGATCAGGCCGCCCGCTGTGACAATGGCGCTCTCCCAACAGTCGATCAGGCCGCCCGCTGTGACAATGGCGCTCTCCCCAACAGTCGATCAGGCCGGCCGTCGGGACAGTGATGCTCTTCCCAACAGTCGATCAGGCCGGCCGCTGTGACAATGGCGCTCTCCCCAACAGTCGATCAGGCCGCCCGCTGTGACAATGGCGCTCTCCCAACAGTCGATCAGGCCGCCCGCTGTGACAATGGCGCTCTCCCAACAGTCGATCAGGCCGCCCGCTGTGACAATGGCGCTCTCCCAACAGTCGATCAGGCCGGCCGTGGGACAGTGATGCTTCCCAACAGTCGATCAGGCCGGCCGCTGTGACAATGACGCTCTCCCCAACAGTCGATCAGGCCGGCCGCTGTGACAATGGCGCTCTCCCAACAGTCGATCAGGCCGCCCGCTGTGACAATGGCGCTCTCCCAACAGTCGATCAGGCCGGCCGTCGGGACAGTGACGCTCTTCCCGACATTCCAAGCAGAGCTCTGGACGGCCGTTCCGAGTACCCAGCGTGACGCCGTGGTTGTCGGCAGACGTTGCTGTGACGTCAGACAGACATAACTGTGACGCAGTTGGGCAGATATTCACGTATCGAGTATGACGCAGACACAAATATGCTGTTTATTACGTATACATCAGCAACTGTAAGTTGATTATGGCCATGAGAACGACCAAACAGCCGAGCACATCTCAGATTCTATCGCGTAAGTGAAGGACGAATCTGACTCCATCTGAAAGGTGGAGCACAGCACTGACTCCATACGGAGAGCCAACCATCGACTCACTGCACATGGGAGCAATGCCCCACTGTGCATGAGAAGGCGACCATGACTGATACCACATCGGGAGATGACCAGGTCTCACGCTTGCCGAGAGAAGTCTGGCATGACGATTTGTGGACAGCATGGCAAACATGGCTCCGTAGGGGAAGGAGAACACAACTTCGATTCCATAAGAGAAAAGGAGCAGGACTCTGACTTCACGGTGTCAGAGCAGCAACACCAAACAACACATTACCCACTAGGCAGACTATACGCTTCGTAACTGTGCGAATCACTGTGGTGAACTGGCAACACCGCTGGCTTGGTGGCTCTGCAGACAATGGCGTGGTAGAAAACATTGGATATCAGATGCACAGTGTATGCAGCGCAGCAAGGTAGGGGCCCCAAATGCCATTCCTCACAAGTCGGACATAGAAACAACAACCGCGGATCGGATCACAATACATTCATTGGAGGCCGCTTGACGCCAGCTCATCACACACTTTCGTCGTGTGCTTACACAGAAGCGTGACCGGGCCCATGTGAGCGCCAGTGCACACAAGAGTGGCACTGGCTGGGCCTCGTCATCGGATTTCCTCAGAGCAGCGATCGACCGCATGTGAGCACGTGCTCACAGGCAACAGCGAACGTTCCCCTCCCCTTGGTGAGCACGTATTCACATGACAGTGATCCCTCGCATGTCAGCACGCGCTCACAGGCAACAGCGAACGTTGCCCTCCCCTTGGTGAGCACGTATTCACATGACAGTGATCCCTCGCATGTCAGCACGCGCTCACAGGCAACAGCGAGCGTTCCCCTCCCCTTGGTAAGCACGTGTGCACAGGGCAGTGATCCCTCGCATGTCAGCACGCGCTCACAGGCAACAGCGAGCGTTCCCCCTCCCCTTGGTGAGCACGTGTTCACATGGTAGTGGTCCCTCGCATGTCAGCACGTGCTCACAGGCAACAGCAATCGTTCCCCCTCCATTGAGCACGTGCCCACATGGCTGTTTCTTCTCCCCAGTGATTCCGCGCGCCAAACAGCAGCAACCAAGTCAGTGTGACGAGCTGTCCTCGAAGTGTTCGATTTCCGACGAAGGCAGGCTCACCGAACATTGATCTGCGTCCGTTGAACACCATGCACACGACAGTGATCAATCCTCGGTAAGCACTCCTTCAAACGAGTGATCAGACACCAGTGGGACACATAAGCCTTCTGCGACGCCTGGTTACATAGAAGCGATCAATGACCAAAGTTGGTAGCACGTTTTCACGGAGCAGACGCCACTGACCGACGCTGGTGGCACGTGTCCAGACAAGAATGATCACGGACCAGCGCTGGAGACACGATCATGCACAACAGCGACCACTAGTCAGCACTGGTGGCATGTGACCCGCGGCAATGACCACTGAGCAACGCTTTGATCCCGCAGCAGGAATCAAGAACGACGACCATTTTTGACCAGCCCATACAGCAGTGATCATTGATCAAGCCTGGTGACGTGCGTGCACATAGCAGTGTTTCCTGACCAACACTTACGACCGGTGGCAACCAAGCAGTGATTACTGCATGCTCCTGCCATAGCAATAAGGTTGGAAGGGCTTTACGTCGACTGGTCGTTTGGAGACCATACTTTTTAAAAAGGGTTAATTGCTTTTGCCGCAAATTTCAGCTTATTTTGCCGGGTCCAAAACCCTTATGGGAATTAGATATAGACACCTAGGTCACCTCTCAGTCGCCACCGCACAGAAACATACCGCTGGTGGCTGTGGCCGCGCCGCCGGCGTGCAGAGTTGCAGCAGACCCAACGATACCCATCACGAGCAAGACAATAGGGGAGGCGTTCACGGCCCGTCACATCCAATCACGATCACGACACGCGTGGCCAGGGCCGCGACGCGCAGGCGGGGCGCGGCCGTCTGATCCGGGCCGGCACCGGCGCCGCTTGAGCTCCGCTGTGCGCGATGAGACCTGTAGCTCCCTCCTGTGCGAATGGCCGCCTTAGGCGTGGACGGAGGCGCGGTTACAGCCGACCGCGGATTGGTCAGGTCCTCTGCGCTTCGACGGGACTCTGGCCCCGCCGACGCTCGCCGACTAACGAGGCGCTGCTGGAGCACATGCCGTCGGCATGCAGCAGCCGGCTCCGCGGCTCGCAGGCCGCAGTCGGCCGGCCTCGGCCGGGCAGAGGGTGCTGACGGAGGGTGGCTGGGGGACGGAAGGTGTTGACGAGAGGCAGGTTCTGGAAAGGACATGACGGTGAGAGGCAGGCGTTGTCCCAGTGACATTGCGTCTCCGGTCTCCCCGCGGACACGGCGCTGGCGTCCGGCTCGCATCCCCTCACCGAGCTTCACACCGCTCCACAGTCGGGCCAGCTGACGGCCCTCCGGACCCGCGAGCGAGACCTCCCGGACTCGCTCGGGCCCGGCGAACACTGACGAGTCCGGCCGACCCGGCCAGCCCGGCAGCAGTGGCGGCGGCGAGGCGGCGCGCCGGCCTCACACCCCGGACACGGACGTGGTGCTGGTGGGCAGGTTGACGCTGAGCGTGGTCGGGCCGCCGGACAAGTGGCGCGCGCCACGTCCGGGCACCAGCGGTCGGTGCTCTTCGGCGCCACGAGCGGCGCGTCCCAGGGGTTTCAGCGGCACTCCGCAGCTCAGGCCGGGGGTGGCCGCCACCGAGACGTCGTCGGCGTTGTCGGCGCCACCACAGCGCCGCTGCAGCAGGCGGCGACAGAACAGCCGCAGGAAGAGGCGGCGGAACTTCTGGCCGAAGATGCAGTAGATGATGAAGTTAGAGGAGGAGTTGATGTTGATGAGAAGGTTACTGAAATCGGCGATGCGCTCCATGCCAGCCTCCTCCACGATCTGCATGTCGCTGTTGTTGAGCAGCTCGATGATGTTGATGACGAAGGAGAGGCTGTTGCAGACCATGAAGAGCAAAACGATGGCGAACAGCATGGTCGCCAGACCGATTTCCTTCTCCTGGCGCCGGCTCAGCAGCTGGCGCATCTTATTCGCGATGCGCACGTTCTTGTAGATCAGGCTGTTCAGCACCACTAGCGTGCCAAAGGGAATACAATACATTACCACCAAGTACATCCACATGATGTATACCTCGATGTAGGCGCGCTCGCTGCGCAGCGGCGTCGAGCAGGCGATGTAGCCCACCACCGTCCTGTTCTCACGCACGTTCACGATCGGCTGCACCTCCGTCTCGAGGAACTTGGGCACGTTGTAGAGCACGACGCACACGCTGATGACGATCATGTAGAGCCGGGCGCGGCCGTACGTGCAGATGTAGCGCGCCTTCAGCGAGTGGCACACGGCCACGTAGCGCTCGACGGTGACGGTGACGGTGACGTACGTGCTGCCCGTGTGCGCGATGGTGGCCAGCGGGTAGAGCCAGGGTGTCATGTGCGGGATGAGGCGGCCGCTGAGGGCGCGTAGTCGTGGCGAGTACTGACTCAGCGCCGGCACGCCCCACACGAAGATGGAGCAGACGAGCAGCAGGATGTCGAACGTCGCCAGCCCGATCAGGCAGCAGTTGATGGAGGCGCGCATCTGCTTGCGCGACAGGATGTAGATGGAGACGGTGTTGCAGACGATGCCGAGCAGGTTCACCACGTTCATCACCACGCCCTCGAGGATGAACTCGTACAGGCTGGGATCGACGGCACAGGCGGACGGCCTCCCGCACATCTCGCATTCCAGGTCGGTGACATTGTCGGCGGCCTCCAGCGCCAGGGCCATGGTGCGCTCGCCGGAGTGAGGGCGGCGTCAGCGCGCCTCCCGGGGCGTCGTCGCAGCCATTATCCGGTCGCCTCCGCTCCCGCCTGCCGACAGAGGTAGGCTTCAGCGCTGAGGGAGGAGGCCCCGCGGGGCTCGCGGCAGCGGCGGCGCGCCGTCGTCTGAGGTCTGCTCGAGAGCGGGCCTGAGAGGCGGCGATAACAGCAGCTCCGCACCACGGCCGCAGCCGGCGCCAGAGGCAGCCCAGAACCCCCCCCCCCCCCCCCCCCCCACTTTCCCCACCGCGCCGTCTGTCAGGCCTTGCACGCCGCCTCCAAGCGACTGGAATAATTGGTGAAGGGGAGTTGTTTACCCAACAGTGCCGGTACGAGTATGGATAAGTGGATGGTTCGAAGCACAACATAATAAAGACTTTGAGCGATGAGCCCTACCGTGGGTTGGCTTCGGTAGCTAGTCGGAAACTAAAACAGCTTTCGCGCGCTCGGGTCGCTACGATGAGAGGTTTTACAAGGATAAGGCTTTTGTGTAAATATTGTCTGAAATTGTGAACAAGGTACGGACGCGATCTAAACACAGTAGCGCAAGTGCATCAAATATGAGTACCGCAATATATTCAGCTAATAATGGGCGAGTGCCTATCCATGTAAGCGGTGATTAACGCGCGCAGGTGAGGGACAAGTTGGCCTCCCGCGGCGCAACCGCGCCTATCTTTACGTAACTGTGGACAATTCGATAGCGGATCATTTGGTACAAAAATAGATGCGTCTTGCATGGTAACTGGTGTACGGTAGGTCAAAGTCAGGTCATGGATTCAGCAAAGAAAATTTCTAAGAAGTTTTTTTTCTTTCCATATGATATAACAACGGGATGTTAAACGAATACTTACATCTCTGAGATAGTTTCTTAGGCAACACAACGATTGAATTAACAAGTCATTTTGACTTAGAGTCAGGTATAAAAGTCAGATCAAGTTCAGAACCAACCCATTTTGTTTTAACTCCAGAGTTTTCTGCATGGAGTAGTTTTCGGCTCTCAATTTGAATTTATTGATAACAGAAACCAGAATTTACATTTCAATGGGTTTCTCAAAGTTCGCAATAGTTAGCTGATCTAAATGACCGAGGTCTGCATTTTGTGTCTAGGAACATAGCGCTTAGCGCAATCCTTGACCCTCTTGAATTACAAAGATCGAAACAGTCTTGTCTGATTTTGGTCTATATGACTCTGAAAGGTCAAAAAAGGGCAATGACCTTATATGAGCACCAGTGACCCTTTGCTTAGAACAGGTATCTAGGTGCACGGTTGTTCCATTTGATGATCCAGGGGCACTTTGGACACCAACTTAAAGCTTGACCTTGTTTGACCTTATTTGACACAAAGACCAAGGTCTGAGGACCTCAGAACTTGACACAGGCGAGTTCTCGTACAGACCAACACCCTGTGAATTTGATGTCTCCAGCCCTCTAAGTTTCTAAGATCTGAGCGGGGTTAAATTGACCCGCACCCAAGCGAAGTGTGTTGAACCAGCCACCCGGCGCGTGTGAAATGCAATAAACTCGAAAGAACAGTCCGTATGATAAGGAGGTAATGAAAAATAGTTTCCTTCTTCATGCTACACCAAACAGCAACCAATGCGCTCAGGCCATCCTTGGCTTTCTGAAAGTTTGCTTTACCCTGCGCAACCTCGGTAACCGCCAAACAACTACGAACAATGAGGACAGGTTTTTGGCTGCTGCAAAGATGAGAGGGACTTACTCATAGTGGGAATTCGTTAACGGTAAAGTTAAGCGAACCATCAAGTTACCATAAAAGATAGTGAACCATCATTAACCGTAAAGTAAAATAAGTAAGAGACGCAACAGAAATGATAAAATGATACAGACGCAGGGGCCGTCTCAGCACGAAGCCGCACCAGTGCTGCGAGTGGCCTCCCAAATTTCACTGGTGGAATATCCCGTTTCTAATATGCTTACAAAACAGAATATGGTCCATTGAGGTGGACCTACTTCACTCAACGATATAGGTTTTAGTTTTGGTTCTCGCGCCATTCATTTGCCAACGCTATTCCGGATAAGAGGGTAAGAAACGGTGCAACGAGAGATTCTCAAGCTAGTTGTTTATGGTTTCATGTCTGTTGATCGAGAAATGTTTTCAATTTCGAAGGCTCCTGATAAATGATATGACGAAATTACAATTTATGCATGCATGACCGTCCGTGCAGTTATGTAACTACCAACGCACGATGGGAAAACAACATTACACGATGCGAGATAAGTACGCGGTAGAAAAGACAGGTGGTGGAAAAAACGCACTATACGCATTCTCGAGAGCGGTGATGATTCTCGAAAAAGCCAGGAGGCAGGACCCACGATTCTTAGCGAGGGACTTAACATCACGCCGACACTACAAGCTGTAAAGTCAATTATATATAAACCGGTGGCGAGTTGGCGTTAGTGGTGACGCTACTCCTCGTTTTGCCGGCTAAATCGAAAAAGGTACTGGCTGTCTTCGAGATGGCTGATACCACATCGGTGCGAGGGTTCTCAGGGATACGCGGCCGACAATACTTCCGACTCTGCAAAAGGGGACATGAAAAATGGACTCCTTGAGTGCACCTCGCGTATATCGATGGTGCATGAATGACATAAAATATCATACAAGTTGAGCGGAACTAAGACGCCTTATCCCTTCGCGCATGGATAACTGTTGGGCTTTTGGGCTTCAACGCGCACAGCTGCAAGGGACTGAACCTAATCAAAGCCTGGCAAGGCGACGTGCTCAAGAGACTAAGGACCTTACTTCGTTTGGCGACGCAGAAACATAAGAAACTGGTGTGTTGAATTATCTGAGTGTGATCGAGTCAGCATCTGACCATATCGGCCAGGATGACACGGCAGTACTTCACGATTATTATCTGAGTGTAATCGGGTCAACATCTGACCATAACGGCACAGATGACACGGTAGTGAGTGTAATCGGGTCAACATCTGACCATACCGGCACAGATGACACGGTAGTGCTTCACGATTGTTATCTGAGTGTAATCGGGTCAACATCTGACCATACCGGCACAGATGACACGGCAGTACTTCACGATTATTATCTGAGTGTAATCGGGTCAACATCTGACCATACCGGCACAGATGACGCGGTAGTGCTTCACGATTGTTATCTGAGTGTGATTGGGTCAACATTTGACGACACCGGCCCGGATAGCACAGCCGTGGTTTACGAGAATTATCTCAATGTGGTCGGTAGTTGAACGGTGGATGATCAGATATTGCAAAGCCATCAGATAGATAATAACACACTTCCGATTAGTATGGATCAGAAAAGGAGCCCAGAGTACGTTTTGGAATGCATGTACTACAGGAATTTAGCACTTGTCACTGCTGAGCAAAATGTCACCGACATGACGTGAAGAAAGAGGGCAAGCGTCATGAATCGTCTGTTTCAGAGCCATCAAATTCTCACAACACATGCAAAAATTGATGAGCTAAGATACACGGAATTTCAGCACAGATACCCTGGATTATTGAGAGATGTTTCCAGAAAACCTCAGGGGTCTTGGAAAATGTGGTACAATTGACTTTCGGTGACGTTAATTAAATTCTAAAACATATTTATATAGATTTAATCTTAGATAAATTTGGATAAAAAGCGACTTACGATAATTCACACGTTCAAACACTTCACGGTTGAGTGACAGACAGGCGCACCACTGTATCAGTATCCTTTGCAATGATCAGGTGTCTTCTTTATTATTGTGCACTTAAAAAGCCCAACTTTAAGGCTAGTACATAGAGTCTTACGCCATCCGCCAACATGAGACGGGTGGGAAATTCTTCCGGCAGGTGGGAAATGGTTCGCCAGGGATGTAAACATTTAAGTCATGTAGAGCCTCCTCCAAATGCACCCCACGCTTCGTGACTATTCATTTTCTTCGACGTTTGGCACACAGGGGCAGCAAAGAAATTGATCTCCATTTTTTTAGCGTTGACGGGATTCTTGTGTTGATCAAGACGAGGTATGCATCTGTCCAATCCTCAGGAAAGACACCAAGGCATGAGGATAGGTTAATCAGTTCACAGATCGGACTGTCCCTTTCTTCAGCACATTCCTTCAATGATATACGGTAATTAAAACCTGACTCGTGTGGCCTGTTGCAATGTTAATAGCGGATCTGCAGTTTGCACGTAAATAGCCATTAAGCGGACAGGAAAAATTCAACATTCATGGACAGGTTGGACAAGTAAGCGGCTAACGCCGATAAAATCACTATGACCTATGATGGGAATATGAGTCACCCAGTGCCGACCCTGTAGACAAACAGTGGTCTGTGTTACATCCACACCATACCGCGGTGAACATCCAAGCCGCAGGCTCGGCGAAACGTGACCCTGAGCACGCCCATGCGGCTAATACCACCGGAAAAGGCACGACGCTCCCCCGTCCCCACCTTGTCTGTCCCCGAGCCATTGACAGCGCTTGGCGTCAATGGAAATTAAGCCCTCCCATGGTGATTTCCCCAAATCATCTTGGGCTTAAGTGCATTTAAATCATCAGTGGTGCCGACAAAGCTGCAGCGATGACAAACCTTCGCTGCGTATTGACAATTAAGGCTCTCTAGAAAGTTTGCATGGTGCTTAACAGGCAGGTTCACGCTGTATCCCGACTGACCTCACATTACCCGGCAGGTATTGCATCTGGCTCCCAAACCCCAGACTCGTGGACAATCGTATCGCGTGCCGGTTGCCTGGCGTACAGACGTATACGGTGCGGATTTCGGCACTACGGACATCGATCGGTCCCAGGTGTACCGCGGATATGTTTGGCATCTGCGCTGTGTTATGATACGTTTAATAAACGCTCCCAACTCCTGTTTGCTGGAGCCGGGATGAACACCGCGCAGCTGCTGCCGTACATCAATGCCGCCCAGCTCCCACGAGCTATCAAATCTGGACCGCCAACTTTGTGCATCGACAGATCTGCAGCGACAGCGGCTGCTACACGTCCATGTGCTGACTGGCTGCCCGCTGCGTCTGGCGGGTTTCGACAGCGGGCGTCGCATGCGCGGCCCGCCGTCAT